TTGTGCAGGATTTTAGAACAATATTCTGAAGGTCCAAAATCTCCAGTTCCACGTCTTCTGTTCTTACTTGAATGAGACTCGCAATTGATGTAGCCATTTCTGTTACTTCTATTTGGCAAGTAAAAAAGAGCCAACTACAGGCTCAACGATGGTGAACTACTGAAATCTCTTTTCAAATTGTTCCAGAAGTGTTTGAATGTGGATAACAAATGGTGATGGGTTAAAATCACGGTCACATACCATTTTCTTCATACTTGGGAAATGTACGAGAGACTTTGTCTTCATATGTGACATCCACAAGATCAGTTTTGCTTTGAATGATTTTACAGAATCTGTCATTTGAGCCACATGTTTGTCATTTCCCTGGAACTCAAGATTTAAAATGTTCAATTTGTCAGTGATGTCGGCAAGAAAAGCCAAATCCATTAAGCAGCTGGAGTCTTCTAGTTGCTCGAAGTTCTGATTTGTGGACTTCGGAAATTCTTTGATCTCTTCAACTAGGCTAAAAAAACGTGCAAGAACTTTACCTTTGCTCAGCCATCATACTTCTGTGTGCAAGATAAGATCAGATTGTTTATCATCAACATCTTCCAACAGGGCCTTAAAAAGTCGGTGTTGCAAAGGTTTCGCTCGAATAGAGTTAATTATTTTAATAACGACATTCATGACGTGTTGAAAAGAGAACTGACGCACAAAGCTTCTTGGTGGATAATGTAATAAGACATAAAGTTCGGAAAGGATTAATTCTTCTTGCAGAGTGCAATGAATCCATTGGCACTGCCCGTCATTGCTGGTGCCCCATCAGTGGTGATCGCAGACAGCTTGTGTAGTGGCATACTAATTGATGTGTGTGATTTGAATAAATTATAGATGTCCTCACCCTTTGTTCACCCCTTCATAGGCAATACTTTTAGTAACTCTTCTTTTACGGTGAAGTCACTAAATACCATCCTCACCATAACTGCCAACTGCGCTGTATCCGATATATCTGTCAACTCATTGAACTGCAGTGAAAACCAGTCACACATTTCCAAGTCATCCTTTAGCTGAGTTTGCATGTCACTTGAAATTGCATGTATCCTCCTCGTAACTGTGTTGTTTGATAACTACAAGTCTTGTGTTGCTGACAAAATATCACGCTTGTTAAGAAATCCTTGAAACAGGCAATCAGCACCAGTCAAAAATGCTTCCTTCAACAATTCACCATCTTGAAATGGTTTTTTCTTCTTTGCGAGCAGATGAGCAATTTTAAAGGAAGCAATAGTAGCACTTTTAGACTTTACCACTTGTCTAGTGAAAACAGATTGCTGGGCAGATAGGTTTGATTTGAGTTGATTGATTTTTCTTCTTTCTCAACTCAGATTTAAGTGGATGGCTAATGTCAAAAGAGCCGTGATTAGTTTGGAAATGGCGTTCGTTATGTTTTTTTCGGCACTGCAACAGTACCACCGCACAATAAGCAAACACATTTTCCCTTTATTTTCAATAAAACAATAGGATTTTTCCCACTCTGCGTTGAAATACGTATGTTGTCTTTTATTTGAACCACTAATTTTGGGGGCAAAATGTTTTTAAAAAAAAAAAATCGCAAAGCACAAGAAAACAGCAGTATCAGTGCAGCAGAAGAATACTCACATATAGGGCTGGCTCCAGGTACAGCAGAGCAAGCACCTGCCTGGGGCGGCATTCTGTCCATTCTTGGGGCGGCAGAGTTCGAGTGGGTTTTTGTTTTTTTTGCGCTTTGGCACTTTGGGCAGCGGCCGTCCTAGCCGCTGCTTTTTTTGCGGTTCTGGTCAGCGCAGAGAGAAGCCACGGCCCTGCGCCTGCCGGGGACAGAAAACACCGGTGCCTGCAGCCCCAGAGTTCTGTCCCCGGCAGGCACGGGGCCGCGGCTTCTCTCCCCTGCTGGGCACTACTTTTCACACCATGTCACTAGGCGGGCGCACATAAATGCCCTGGCGGGCGCCATGGCACCCACAGGCACCGCGTTGGGGACCACTGCTCTAGAGGATGGAGAAGTGACCAAAAGTTCCATTTCTCTTTCAGTAACTTCAGATTTACCAGGCACCTACTAGCCAGATGCTGATACAAAAAACAAAGTTGCCAAGCATTGTCCAGCGACATATTCTGATAGTAACTCTACCACTCTCCCCTTTGCTAATAGCAGAGGGTGGGTTCTCAGCGGGGGATTGCCCTTAAATCTTGCTGGTTGGTCCCATTCTTGGTACCCACACACTCAAGGGCACTCACCTTTACCCAGTTCCTAAGGCACAAGGCATAACCTGGCTGATTTAGGCACCCCCACCCTTACCCAGTTCTTAGGGCTCTGGGCACATTCTTCTGTGGGTTTGCAGGATCTTTTTACCAGTGAAAGAGCCTTACATAGTAATATTCTTATCGTCTATTTATTAACAATTACGAAGCAAAATACACATGCTAAGCATACAATGCTATGCTCACCAATCCTGATCATGCAGGCAGACTTTCCCTGTTGGCCAGGCAAGGTCGGTCTCATCTGGGTTCTGGTTGCTGCACGTCACAGTTGTGCAGAGGATTCTTAGCAGCTCTGATTTTAGGCGGTCTCTTGGGGGGTGAGTTCTTCTTCTTTGAGGTCTTTCCTCCTTTTCCTTTCTTTTTCCTTCCCAGCTGGTGGTCTTCTTCTTGGACCTCAGTTTATATAGTGAAACTTGAGTTCTGCTTAGCTATACCTTAACAAATAATTTTATTTGCCGGGTGTAGTGTATTAAATTGCTCCCCATAGGAATGTGCTACTTAAGGTGTACTACTTACAGCTGCCAGTCCTGATGCTCTCAGTGGCATGGTAAGGAGACTGGGAACAGGGGTGGTTGAATAGGCGTGGGAGTCGTGGGGGGCCTGTCGGGGTCGGGGGTGTGGATAGGGGTAGGGACAGTCAGGGACAGGGAGCAGGGGGGTTGGATGGGTGGAGGGTTCTGAGGAGGGCAGTCAGGGGGCAGCAGGAGGTTCCGAGAGGGGGTGGTCAGGGGACAAGGAGTTGGGGGGGGGGGCGAGTCAGGGGTTATAAGGGGGGCAGTGAGGGGGCGGATAGGGGGCGGGCTGTTTGGAGGGGCACAGCCTTACACTACACACGGGTAGGGATTACATTTCTCCCCGTAGGAATGTGCTTCTTATGGTGTACTACTTACGGCTGCCAGTTCTGGTGCTCCGCAAGTAGCACATTCCTACAGGGAGAAATTTAATATACTACAGCGGTGGACAGAACCCCAGACTGGTGACGGGCTCTGGTCTGGGGTTCCGTCTGCCAGCTCCTGCCAGCCGGGGTCCCGGCTGCCGACCCTGCTCAGCCCAGGCCAGCAGCGGGCTGAGCGGGGGCGGCGGCTGGGACCCTGGCTGGCAGCAGTGTGCCAGTAAAAATCGGCTCGTGTGCCGCCTTTGGCACGCATGCAGCGGGTGGCCGACCCCTGGTTCAGTGTAGCTAATCCCTGTTTTCAGTTTATAGCCTTATTTACTTTACCACAGTTGATCTCTAGCTTGTTTTTTCTCCAGTTTGCCCTGACCTAGGGGAGGAGCTGGCATGAATTGCTCCTCTTGTAAGGAAAAATTACCTGGATGCTAAAGGCATCCTATATTCATTTCACTGTCCAAGGAGAGTGTCTGTGCATCAGATTCAGAATTGCTGGGAGAGGTTTTTACCCTTCAAGCGGTGCTTTCTAGCAGAGATCTATAAAGGGTTGGGAAGCATGCAGTCTCCCAGGAAAAATAGGAAAGTGCAAATATTCTTTACCAGGGGACTACACAGAAGAGCTAAAGCTATTGACATTTGGCCTGGCCATATTTGCTATTAAATTCCCCCCCAACTCCACTTATTCTAGGAACATTGTCAGAGATCTTTCTGGCAAATGGTAATTTTCATCATGCCAGTGAGACTGTGGGTTCTGGCAATTCTAAACATGTTAATAAACAAATCTGCACACCAAGGCCAGGGTTTTCATCACAACCTGGAGTCTTTGACTGGAAAGAGTTTTAAAGGGATAATCTGAAATGACAGGGTTGCTCTGAACAGATTGTTGTCACTAAATGGGATGGACTTGTCTTCTGCATCAAGGGGAGAACAATGTTATCTATAGAAGAAAGAACTGCTCATGTCTCGTGCTACATGCAATACAATTTTTTTATGCTTGGTCTTGGTGTTAGGTCCATTAAGGTCCAGATAGTGGCTGTCATTAGTGTTTTGGATCCAAATAAAAGCAGAAGCCTGTCATCACATTCTATTTTCTAAATTCTTACATGCTCTCGCTAAATTACTGCATCTCAGTCTCTTAAAAATGTTTGTTTCCCTGTACCACCTTCATTCTCTTCCCTGTCCCAAAGAAACTCAACGTAATATTTTGTGCTCTGACCAAGAGGACGGATTAAAAATCAACAATTCTTTTGGAAAAAACCCAATTTTTTAAATTTAAATTGGATTTATTTTATTTTATTTAAATTATAACACATTCAGATTTAATTTTAAACATTTATTTTTAAAAAGAAAACTTAATACAAAATATGTTAAGGCCTTTGTTCTGTCTGTTACTACTTTGAACCACTTAAATCTTACTGTCTGTATTTAATAAAATCACTTTTTATTCAGTAATTTACTCGGAGTATGTATTAATACCTGAGGGAGCAAACAACTGTGCATATCTCTCTATCAGTGTTATAGAGGGCGAACAATTTATGAGTTTCTTATGGTGTCCCCTCTGGTCCTCAGCTTTCCAACTGCTTTTAAATGTTGTAAAACAACAGAGGAACCCATCTGTAAGAACTGGTGGATGAGTCTGTTCAAGTAACAAATAAAAGGTAGAAAAACAACTGTGAAGTCTCAGTAGAATTATTTTCATAACATTTGCTATGAAGTTCTAATTCTTGTAAAATGTTTTGTTTCAAAAATAGTATAAATACATGTTAATAAGGTGAAATGTTGTCCTGTTCAAAGATCAAATAAAAACTCCATTGTTATTTGCTGTAAAATCCAACAGGAGGAAACCGAGTATGTTGAACTTTTAGCAGCAGAAAAACATCAGGTTGAAGCCCTTAAGAACATGCAGCATCAAAATAAAAGCCTGTCCATGCTAGATGAAATTCTTGAAGATGTTAGGAAAGCAGCCGATAGGCTGGAAGAGGAAATAGAAGAACATGCCTTTGATGACAACAAATCAGTAAGTGACATTGTAGAAATCATTCTGCTTTTTAATTCATATACTTTCATTTTTAGATCTAACAAAGCATTGCATTGATGCTACTTTTGTCAGATGTAATAAATAGTGGTGGTAATTTAGTGACAACTTTAAAATATTTGACCTTATTGCGTATCTTTCATGTCCCCTGATTCCCACAGAAGAAATTGCTTATTTAGAGCTATTTTGACTGCTTTCCAGGAAGCAGGTTCTCTCAGCCATCTCCCTTATCACTAATATTTTTTGTCTCTTAAATATGGTTGCCACTTTTAACTACACCTCTAGCCCGATATAACATAATTTGGATATAACGCGGTAAAGCAGCGCTCGGGGGGGGGGGGGCGGGGCTGCGTACTCCGGTGGATCAAAGCAAGTTTGATATAACGCGGTTTCACCTATAACTCGGTAAGATTTTTTTGGCTCCCGAGGACAGCATATCGGGGTAGAGGTGTATTATGTTGTGGAACAAACTTGCACATCATGATGTTGACATAACTGTTCAGGGTCCTCTAGCCCCATGTTATTTGGGGTCTCTAGGCTCTCAAAATACAGGCTCACCCTGTTAAAATTAGCCTCCATTTTTATTTCTGTTTTTTTTTTCTCTCCATTTTTGTTGAGAATATAATGGGAGAAGGAGAACCCTTGAAATTAGGTTTCACAGTCTGAAAAAAGCAATAGCGTGCAAGGTAAGGGCATGAAACACCTCTGTTGCGTTTCCAGTGGCTTTTTTCCACTTGAACTTCATCTGCTTTCAGTCTCTTGGACTACTTCCAATGGCTCTGTGGGTGTGGGAGACTAGGGGAAAGAAACAATCCCCAGGTTAACCTTGTGTGTGTGTTGGAGGAGGGAACACATCCATTTCTCCATGCCTTCCATCAGCCTTCCTTAGGACTGACTGGAGAGGCTCTATTATCTGAACATAAGGTCGCAGCTTTTTGGCCTTGGCTTCTACTCTTGGAAGTTCTGGTGGGAAAGGCTTTTGTTGGCTTGCAGTTCCTGGTGCAAGGTCTGTGCAGTTCATGAGTTCTGTTATGGGGGACTGGAAGTTGTCCTTTAGGAGGGAGCCAGGGCCTCTCTAGGCCTCTTTCATGGTGGCCTCCTGCTGGGAAGCAACTAGCTGTTATGTTTTTCTCTACTCTAGGCTGGCCCATCCTTGTAGATGGGGGGTCATGGTTAGCAGGGGCACCAGTGACCAGGGAGTAGTTGGCCATAGCACTGTGTTCTGTTACCCCTGCTAGTAGTGGTACAGCCTAATGGCGTCAGGCTGTGTGGAAGGAGGCCAAGTTTGTCTGCAGACCCCTTCCTGCTTATTGGCAAGAGGTTGAATGGCTGCTTTTTCTCCAATGATTTCTTTTCTCTTTTCCTCCCTGTGCTCCTGCTAGTGGGGGAGAAGGAATCAAGTACCAGTCGGAGGCCTTCTCAGGTCCCCACTTCAGTTTAGCAAGAAGCATTCAGTATTTTCTTGTAATTTTTCTTAAACCAAAACATGTAACTATACCAGCTTGGGCTACAAACCAGACTTTTGTAAGGAAAAGAGCACTATTAACAGAGACTCAGTAATCTAAACATAAGTTTTTATCAAAAATATAACCAACTAGCATAACACAATAGGGATGGTATCCCTAGCCTCTGTTTGCCAGAAGGGAATGGGCGACGGGAAGAATCACTTGATTACCTGTTCTGTTCATTCCCTCTGGAGCATCTGGCATTGGCCATTGTTGGAAGACCGGATAATGAGCTAGATGGACCTGTGGTCTGACCCAGTATTCTTATGTTCTTATAAAAAGGAAAGGAAAATAATTCTGTTAAGCCTCTTATGCAAGATAACAGCAATCACACATAAAACAGGCAAATAGGACTTTGTCATGTGCAATCCACATACAATAAATACTCCTTTAGGAGACAAAATCCAGAAGTAGCCCTTGGCCCATTAGATGTTCAGAGTCCTCAACACTCACTTTTAATTAATAACACCTAGCGCTTATATAGCACCTTTCATCTGTAAATCTCAAAGCGCTTTAGAAAGATCAGTATTATCCCCATTTTACATATGGGGAAACTGAGGTACAGGGCAAGTGAAGTGACTTGCCCATGGTCACTCAGCAGATCAATGGTAGAGCCAGGAATAGAACCTTGTCTCCTAAATTCCAGTCTGATGCATTATATACTAGGCCATACTGCCTCCCTTCCAACACTGACGTCACTCTGGTGCCATACATGCCTGCCCCCATCAGTGTCTGTATTCCCTAAATTCCTAATTGTATTAACTTTATTACAACAAACCCTCAATAGCTAATCAGTATTTGAACTTGTTTATATGTTTGTTATATAAAAAGCAGATTGTGTAAAAATATCAGTCTGAGACTTGAATATCTACTTTTCTACTGAGAAATGCTTTCTTTCTGCCAGGTGAGAGGTGTTAACTTTGAAGCAGTTTTAAGAGTGGAAGAAGATGAAGCAGACTCCAAGAGAAATATTTCAAAAAGAAAAGTGGAAGATGACCTGGGTCTTAGTATGCTTATTGATTCCCAAAACAATCAGTATATACTTACCAAGCCCAGGGATTCAACCATCCCTCGTGCTGATCACCATTTCATAAAGGTAAATTGTTATACATCTATTTAGAGTATTGTCTATTGTGATCTAGAAACGGAAAAGTTCTCAAATTCCACCCTTCTTCCCTTATCAAAAACTTAGTTTTGGGCTTAACTTGATCTTCCTGAAGATAAGGAAAAGAATGTGTTTTACATGTTCAGAACACTATTATCAGCCCTTAACTTTTTAAAATCAAATCTTTAAAAAAAAAAAAATTAAAACATTTCTTCAGACAAGGCAAAAACACTAGTCTTCTTTCAGCCCTTTGTACTGTTCATACTAAGACTAGTTTAAAATCAAAATTTTCGGCAATCTAATAATACCAGTCTGGAAAACTTGTATCAGTTATTCTCATCATGTGAGTTTCTAGCAGAACCACCAGTCAACATGCACCAGATGTTTTGGTGTAAAGGATTCTTGGTCTTGCCCTGTCTCTCCCAAACACACATTTCTTGTGTTTCCTCCCTCGTAGTGAGTCATTTCCCTTTCATCAGGAATGTGAACCATTGCCTAAAAGGGTCTTAGAGCATTCTCTTGTTCCAGGACCTTCAATCTTCAGATCAGTTTGCAGTTCCAATGAATCTGTGGTGGTGCTGCAGAATCTTTTGCAAGACGTACGAAACTCTGTTCTGTCTGTTCACTTTCCGGTAGGAGACATAACACTTCCTTTGTTTTTCTCTAGCTAAATTATTAGAAGAAAGAAATGGGCAAAGAAAGGTGCAAAGGTTATCTGATTTAGAACTTGTAGTATGAAAGCCTGGGACCACCTCCTTTTTGGGATGTGAGAGGGGAGTCCTGGATAGAATTAGAGATGCAAACCTGTAGTCTTTTCTATACTTTTTCACCAGACCAACACTTAATATATCTACTGAGATGTTTTTGCCACATTTTTGGCCAGTTTTGAGATCAGTTGTCTGAAGACTTTGCTACATGAACCCCCACCATTCTCTCCTGTAAGGGACATATTCCAGACTGATGAATCCAGAAATTGCAGAAGTTAGAATGTTTATATGTAAATGAGTTTCTGTATTTTGGATAACGCCAGTTTGGAAGGTCTCTCATTAGTATTGCAGATATTTAATTCTTTGATATACATGGTTCATTAGCATTCTTGTTGTTCATTTTGAATTTTTTTACTACAGTTGGTTGGTTTTTCATTTTGGAGTATGAGCTACTTCTGACTGATACTTTTTATTATTATGGATTTAGCTCTTCCTTTAATATTTCCTTGTATTTCTCTCTTATGGAAGCTTCATTTGGGAAGGTCAAGAGAGACATGGCAGGATTAAAAGTCCTTAGAGCCAAAACTTTTGGCATATCACTGACTGATCTGTGTGTCAGATCTTTCTTTCTGACTTGTGTGCTGAGAGCAGCTTTCCAGAGTTGTGTCTAATATACAGAAACCTCAATTACAGGTTAAAAAAAAATTACTTTTTTAATCATCTCAATTGCAAAAACAGGCAATGTCTATTAAATTTACAAAACACAACTCTGTTCCTCAGTTTCTTAATCTGTAAGTGGTGGTGGTGATGCTTACTACGTAAGAGTTTTGAGGCTCAATTCATTCATATCTGTAACATGTTTTGAACTCTGTGGATGGAAGATATTATATTATATAAATTTATTTTTACATTGCCACTAAACTTTAAGGTTGGGAATAGCCCTTAATTTCACCACAACTTCCTCATGACTTTTATATTAATATATTAATCAATTTTATACACTAGGATATTGTGACCATAGGAATGTTATCTTTGCCATGTGGCTGGCTGTGCACAATGATAGGATTGCCAACCATGTTTGGGTACATCATTTGTGGAATACTCTTGGGACCATCAGGATTAAACAGCATTAAGGTAAGAGAGTGAGAGTCTTGTATTTATTTTTTTTTGTTATGCCTGCCTTCATTTTTAGGGATGCTTTAACAATTTTCTTAAAGTTTTACAGTATTGCCAACTTCCATTGTTCAAAAATCATGAGAGGCCCCAGAAAATCATAGGATTTTCAAGAGACTACGTCTGGTGTTTATTTGCCTTCTGATTTCGGATCCTTTAGCATTCATTCATGTTTTCAAGTTTTTCTCCATCCCCATGAAGGATAGAAACTTTCTTTTTTTAAATGAAAGAAAGGGAGTTTTCGCTAGACTAATTACATTGAGAAATTGTTTCCCTGTGGAGTTGGAATAAAACTCTACTTTTCCGTATTATAATTGCTCCTACTCAGGAGCTCTCCTGTGATCTATGCAGTATTGTAGCCATGTTGGTCCCTGGATATTAGCAAGACAAGGTGGATGAAGTAATATCTTTTATTGGACCAACTTCTGTTGGTGAGAGAGACAAGCTTTTGAGCTTATGTAGAGCTCTTCTTTAAGTCTTCTCCTGTGATCTGTCATCTTTCTCCAGAGTAAGATAGTGTGAAATAATTCTTAGGTTAGTGAATTTTATTTATTTATGCTATCGCCTCTGAGTTTGAGAAGGATGTGGCCTGTAGGAGGAGGGGAGAGGCAGGCTACATTCTAGTCTGGGGAGGCAGAGAGAACATCTCTCAGTTCCCCTAATCAATGGTGTTTTATTCCATTTTCTATCTACCTCTCTTGCTCTGAATCTTCTAACAGTTGAGAAGTATTAAGTGGTGATGCTGTTGCTACGGGAAGAGAGGCATCTGCCATCTCCACTTTGCTGTCACTGTGTCATTTTCTCCCTGCAATGAAAGGCAAAGAGGTGGCAGAGTGATCACAGAGATACAACCACAGCGCTTCTGAATAGCAGAGAGAAGAACACCAACTTGAGTCTATCGGAATGAATTATAGGCAGAGAAAATATTCAGCACTGCAAAGCACTATAGTAGCTAGGCGGAGGCTCCCTCCCTTATGAAGACATCAGAGAGATGTGTCCCCTGAGGTGTGATTTAGGACTGCCTTTGGCTTCATGTACATTTAGCTCAGGAGACATCAATCCATATTCAATAAGTGCAATTAATAGGCATTTATTTACAAATTTACCAAGTTCAGCCCTTTCAGAATCTCTAATTTAAATTTAAATCTGTCAGAATTATTGCCAAAAACACCTTACATTTATTTGCCAAAAACACAAGAGAAAAAAAACACTGTGTGAAATTCTTGTCTATGTAAACAGGAGTTCTAGGCCTGTTTCCCCTGCTATAAAATGGGAAATTAGTTGAGTAAAAATTGATCTATGAAACTGTAATCAAAAGATCTCAAAGTGCTTTACAAACACTGAAGAAGTATTTAATGCAAACCACACAAGGATTGTTATGAATTCCTTTTGTAGACAAAATACATTGAACATTTTTAGAATTCAAAACTTTATAGATGAAAATTAACTTATGGGTGGTAGTTTCAAAAGTACTTGGCATTGGCTTAACTCTGCTCCCATTGACTTCAGTGACCATTCACATTTTCAGAACACAACGTGTCCACTGAATAATGGCATTGGTCTCTTCACCTTTAAATTAATTTTAATGCAATTAGTCATGCACTTGTCAGGTTCTAACAAAATTATATTAGTGCATTTATTTATAATCACTGTCAAATACTGACGGCTGATAATGTTACAGGTGGGATTTTCAGCAATGCTCAGCATTGGCCTCTGCAAACTTGAGTGCTTTGAAATCTTTCTTTGCTTTCTGCATAGCCACAGAATACAAAATACATTTTTTTAAAGATTTTAATCAGACTCAGCATAAAATTTGTCACTGACTGTCTAGTTGTCTCCCTCTTGCTTCATCTGTCTCAGGCAATCTGTAAACTGTGAGGACAAAGCAGAAGGGGGGGAGTTTAGGGACCATTGTAGCAATAGCAGAGAACAGAAGATTGTTTTAAGTCCCACCAAACTATCGATAAAATGATCTGTTGGAGGAACAACAAACTTGTCTTAAACTCAAGTTTTCAACTTCCTTCATGCATTCCTAGAAGAATACAAACAAAAATGGCTGAAATGAGTTTTGTCAATCTTAGCAAAAGTCCACTTGCAGACTTAGCATGCAAAACTTCAGTTTCCAAGAGAGATTTTTGCCCAATAAGTGAGGGATTGAAAATTGGAGAGAAGGTAAGTAAATGAATATGTAATTTAAAAAATAAAAGTCTATGTACTTACAGTTGACACATGCTCAAAAATTTGACTGTTTAGTGATAAAGATGTTTTAGAACAGATCAGGGGTCCGCTGTAATTTTCATAGTGTGCAACACCTATTAATAGAGAGGTTCTCTTGCAGAATACTACCTATGTGCGATTGCGCAGGCTATCACTGCCGTTGTTCCCAGTCACATAACATGCCAATATCACTTTTCAAAGTAACTGCTGTCGTTGCTGCAAGGAAGTATTTATGTATTTTTAGCTGTCTAGTGTGAAATGTTCAGTCACCTATTGAAAAAAACTAATACCTACTTTTGCTCTTCATTTAATCTCTTCCTACCATCTGTTCTATTTTTCTCTCCCCTTGCTGCACCCTGTACATGCATCTCTGCCACCTGGTCCCCTTGTTTTGGCCTGCACCTGCTTCCCTAATGGTTGGTTTCCTTCTCCTCTGGAAATGTTCTCCAGCTGCTTCATTATTTTTTTCTACTCCTCGGGACATTTGTCTCCTAATGGTGACTGGTGGCTCCAATTCCTGAAGGCAGTTCTTGTTCCCTTTTCACCACTCTTTATGTAGCAACAGCCCCTAAACAGAGGCAGGTTCCTTCTTGTTTGTAAGTCACCTTTGTAAAAGAGAGTCTGGTCACCTTCAGAAATAGTTGTGAACAAAGAGAGCCAGCACCATATGACTACCAGTAAGTGCTCCAAAGACCACAATGTGGGTACTGCCTATCTAAAATAGTAATGTAGATGTGATTATACACCTCTACCCCGATATAATGTGACCCGATATAATATGAATTCAAATATAATGCGGTAAAACAGTGCTCCGAGGGGGGCAGGGCTGCGCACTCCGGCGGATCAAAGCAAGTTCGATATAACGCGGTTTCACCTATAACGCGGTATGCTTTTTTGGCTCCCGAGGACAGCGTTATATCGGGGTAGTGGTGTATTATATTATAGTAAGCAGACTAGTACACTGAACATTTTATATTCTTATTTTGCAGTCTATTGTACAAGTGGAAACATTAGGAGAGTTTGGTGTGTTCTTCACTCTGTTCCTAGTTGGTCTGGAGTTTTCCCCTGAAAGGCTAAGAAAGGTATTTGTGTATAAAACTTCTGCATTTCCGGATTTGATTGGTGATGTTGAAGTTATCAATTATATTTCAGCATTTAAAAGCCTGTCTACAATATATCTTAATGTAGTTTGACCATGATTTTTAAAAGTAAGAGAAATATCTCTGGTTCTTTCTTCAGGTACTGAGAGTGAAGGAGGAGATAGAATGCAAAAAATGTTATCCTAGTGCCTATTTTAATATCTGTCTTGATTTTCACAGAACAGTTCATGATTTCTAGGAAATTAAAACACACATTTACTGCAGGGAAATCCAAATATATTATATTGTGATGTTGAATCCAGTTGTAGAGGTGTAGACATCACAATGTTGTGAAGCAGGCATGTGTCCTGCAAGGCATAGTTAATGTATTAAACGCCACATGATGGATTTACAACATAAAGTGAACTGGATGAAATGTGTTGTTAGAGCCTGTTGGCCCTTGATTAGACATGTATCTTAGTATATCCTAATTTATATGTTGAGACAGTCAGACTTCAGCAAAAAAGGGACAAATATGTTAAAGAAAAGTCTACTTGTTAATGTAGAGAGTCAGGAACTGCAGCTGGTTTTATGATATAAGGTTAAGATACATTAATTTTAATTGGAAATATATTGTTACAAAATTATTAAAACGAGCACAATAATACAAATAACAGTAATAGTTAAAAAGACACATTTTGCATGGCTTATGTTTGTTTTAGATTGATGGTTCAAAGTCAGTGAGATCACATAAAAGGAGATCTATTTTATTGATATGTGGACAATGATATGGGTACCTCAGTTTAATTATATAAATTATATTCACTAGACACTCATAAATTACAGATGTTAAAGATGAAGGCCTATTAAACCGTATACTAGTCCATACTTTGTCATTGCTGGATTGAGTTGTACCTGCTACAATATATTTTGTAGTGTTTTGTCCTGTCTAGTTTTAAATAATTTTGGGGGGTGGGGTTTCTCTTAAAAAGCATGGTAGTTCTCATATTTGGGAGGCTTTTCCTGATATTTAACTTTTTTTTCCCTTTTCTTTATTTTATCCCATTACTCCTAGCATCATGCTAAATAATTCCTCTGCCTACGTGGTGTTCGTATAGTTCAGTTTGTCAACAATTACCAAGTCAAGCCATCTATCCCTTTAATTTTCATTTCTCTTCTCTGAACTCCCTCCAGTTTGTCTAATACATCTAATGAGGTACCCAGCACTGGACATAGTCTACCAGGTGCTGTCTCAGCAGAGCTGTGCAGTGAGGGGCTATTACTTCCATGTGATTTGGGGCTGTAAAGTTATACCATAGATCTCTTTTACTACTCACTTGCGTTGAAAACCAATGTAACATTCATCAATGAGAGAATAACCCTCAGGTTATACAATACAAATCTAACTGTGTGTTATCCTCAAGGTGTGGAAGATATCTTTGCAAGGACCCTGTTATATGACACTTATGATGATTGCTTTTGGCTTACTATGGGGACATTTACTACAGATTAGACCAACACAGAGTGTCTTCATTTCTACTTGTTTATCCTTATCCAGCACACCCCTAGTATCCAGATTCCTTGTAGGGAGTGCTCGAGGAGATAAAGAAGGTAGGTGCAATTTAGATATGGATTGTCCCAATGACAGCACTGATTAAAAATGTCTGTAATAAATTCTCAAAATGGTTGAGCATCATACTAGTGACATGAGACAAAATAGAAAAAAGAACATTGCTGTTATTATGTAATGTACTAACTTGATGGGGAGCCAAGAATATTATTTTGATAATACCGAGCATTGGTGCTTGCTTGTTTTTGTATGGTTTGAACTGGCCCTCTTCCTCAAAAATATAAGAATCTTGATAGATAATAGCATCATGTATTTAGCATCGTGTATAAGGTGTCGTGTTCTCTTTTATGACATCCCTCTGTAATGGAGTCCCACGTTGATTTTAACGCTTTTAGCCACAGGTGATTTTCATGTTTATGCTAAATTGCCAGATTAAGACTGCTACGACCAATCTGCCATGAGGGCAGAAAGGCCTGACCCAGTAACCTGCACCTTCTTTCTGCAGTCTGAGGCCTGCTAATGTACTCTTTCCCCCAAATACTTTTAGCTTCATATAGGTGGATGTGCTACAGCATGATCAGTGAATAGTTTTTGGTTAAATAAATATCTAAGAAAATTATGAATGGAAATTTCAGGGCTCTGAGTCTGAAAGGTTTCCTTAAATTATGCACTTATTCTGCATTTTCTAGTTTTTTCCTTTTAGAAGAAATGCACTCCCATTGCTACACACTTCATGTAGTGTAATTCTACTCTGTGACTGTAAAAATGCCAATGTGTAAATTCCATGTTTAATTATTTGCTCAGTTTACAAATGAAAAGATTCTTTTTGGTTTTGTTTTCAAACTGCCAGCCCTACAAGTCAACCTGGATTCTCTGAGTCAAAATTTGTTGTTTACTTCTCATTTATTATTTCTAAGGCTATGTTTATGTCATGGAGGTCACGGAAGCCGGGACTTCCAGAGACCTCCATGACCTTTTCTGCTTCAACCTCTGGGTCTGTGGGACTGGAGCTGGCAGCTAGTGGGGCCCCGGCAGGGTTCCAGTAACAGGCGACAGCCTCCTCAGGGGGCCCTCCTCAGAGTTTCAGCAACTGGGGACAGCCTTGTGGAGGGTTGGGGGCGGGGGGAGAACCATGCAGCTCCTAGCCACCACGGTGGCAGGGGAAACTATGGAGCCGCATCAGCAAAAGTCAGACAGGTCACAGCTTCCATGAATTTTTGTTTATTGCCCGTGACCTGTCCATGACTTTTTTACTAAAAATAACCATGACAAAATCTTAGCCTTAATCATTACCAGTAATAAAGGTTCTTCAAGTCAAATGATTACTCCTCTGAGAATTCTACGCCACTGTGTCTCCACAGAATCCATGTCGCCCCAATTTTTTTTTTTTTTTTTTTGTGTCCCGGCAGAAAAGTGACTTTTTAACAAGGAAGCAAAGGGAAGCTGCAAGAGTGGTCACGTACCCCTCCCCAGCAGCACGGGCACGTCACTTCACTGCTGGCTGCTTCGGGTGCCTGAAGTAAATCACCATGGCGGGGAGGGGAGTGGCAGGGCTGGGGATGCTCCAGCCAGTAGCTCCTACCCTGCACCTGGCTCAGCTGCTAGCCCTGTCTAGGCTCGGGGCAGGGAAGGATGGGACATCCTCTTCCTTGCAAGGAGCGGCTGGGTCTGGGTCAGACCATCCCCAGAAACCTTCCCAGGCTGCAGGAAGCTCTGCACACACACTCCGCTTCCTGCCCCCATCGCTGTTCAGCCATGGGGTGAGGGGTCACTATATAGGGAGTTGTTCCCTCGTCCGCTCAACTCCTGTGCATCCAGACCCCCTGCCAAGCCTCACCCCTCCGCACCCAGAATCCCTGTACCGAGCCCTCCACCTGAATCCCCCTGCCAAGCCTCACCCCTCCGCACCCAGAATCCCTGTACCGAGCCCTCCACCTGAATCCCCCTGCCAAGCCTCACCCCTCCGCACCCAGAACCCCTGTACCGAGCCCTCCACCTGAATCCCCCATGCCAAGCCTCACTTCCTGCATTCAGAGCCCACCTGCACCCAGACCCCCCACCAAGCCCCATTACCCTGCACCCAGACCCCCACCCTTGGACCCAAGCCACCTCCTGCTGAGCTCCCTGCACTCAAACCCCTATCCTAATGAATCCCATCCCCCTGCACCTGGACCACCCCAATGAGTCCCTTACACCTGGACCCCCCCTCCCCCGAACCTGACACACCCAGACCCCTCCTCCTGATCCCCAACCAACTTCACCTTGACCCCCTGGAGAGTCCCATTACCCCTGCACCAGGAACCCTCAATAAGCCTCTGTGCATCCAGACCCCCCCATACCTGGACACCAAACTGAGCTGCTCCCACCACACTAAGCCCCTCCACACTTGGATTTTGCCAGGCTCAGCCTGCCTGCCCACACCTGTGCATCTTGCGCAGAGGGGCAGGGCTCCCGGGGTGTTTCTGGGGCAGGCCCAGGCCTTGTGCTGTGTCAAGGTCAGGTGCAGCCTCACTGCTGAGTCCATGTCCTGGGACTGAGGGCTGGGGGGGAAGAGTTGCAGGGTGATTGCCCACCTCCATGTACCCAGTGGCCTGTGCTCCCCACTGCCATTTTGGAGCCTCCATATTTATTTATTGACCAATAAAATTTGCAGAATTTTAAAATATTGTGTGCAGAATTTTTTTAATTTTTTGGTGCAGAACCTCACTGACAACTGTGCAACCTGTTGTGCTTCTTCGAGTGCTTGCACGTGTCCATTCCAATGTAGGTGTGTGCATGCCCTGAGCACAGTTGCTGGGATTTTTTTCCCCTATTAGTATCCATCGGGTTGGCTTGAGTGTCCTCTGGTGCTACGCGCTCATATCACTGGTATAAAGGGCCCTGCTGACACCACTCCCCCGAGTTTTTCTTAGGCAGGAAGAAGTACCGCAGATCTTTGCTGACATTGAGGAAGTGACGGAGGCTCCTTGGCTGTCATAGCCTCTTTGTCATCCTCCCCAGACAAGGCAGTGGTGGCAGCAGGGATGTCCCTACCACAAGGCATTCCAGGATTTGTTAACGTGGGAAGCCTCAAACTTGGGAATACAAGCAGAGGTGGTCAAAGAGACAATACATAGTCTCTTAGATATTTTGGCGGCGGTCCCCTCTAGAGTGGCTCTACCACTTAACGAGGCCATTATGGACCCAGTCAGGGCACTGTGACAAACCCCTACCTCCCTCCATCCCTCCTGCAGTGAAACATACAGAACAGAAATATTTTGTACCAGCTAAAGGGTACAAGTTCCTTTCCTTGCACTCTCTCCCAGGGTCCCTGGTTGTGGTGGCTGCCAATTAAAGGGATTGACAGAGTAAAGCAGGGTCCATGTCCAAAGCGAAAAGACCCAAAGAAATTGGACCTTTTTGTTCAGAAGGCCTACTCCATGGGCTTCTACAACTAGCACAGCGAACCAGCAAGCCTCGCTAGGCTGTTATGATTTTAATATGTGGGAGTCTGTGCTAAAATTTAAGGACTTGCTCTCCCAGGCATCTAGGCAAGAATTCTCATCCTTTGTCGAGGAAGGGAAGATTCCACAGCCAGATCAATGGCCACAGCTGTAACCATGCACAGGAGCTTGTGGTTGCAGTCCTCAGGGTTTCTGCATGAGGTGCAACAAATCCTTCAAAACCTCCCCTTTGAAGGGTCATGCTCTTTTCAGAGCAAATGGACACTAGACTAGATAGCCTTAAAGACTCTAAGGTGACCTTGAAATCTTTGATCTGTATACCATGCCCTTAAAGCTGAAAAGAGAGAGAGAGAAGGAAGGAAAAAGAAAGAACTTTCTCCCAGCAGGCAGCTGACCTACCAGGAAATGTTTGTACCTACTGTAGGTGGATCTGTGGTTCTAAGATAGGGCTCCTGAATCATCTCAGGACCCATATGTATATCTGTGGTAGAGAATCAAGGGATTGCCGATGATATCCCGGCTGTATCCAGAAAGCACAACAGGCCCCAACAGACTGGCCTCTACTTTGCCCAGCCAGCAAGGCAAGATCAACAGAGGAGGAAGAGCAGGAGGTTCAGACGAAGGCCCCCTCCACCAATCTCCTCAGCAGGACCAATACAGATTGGCTCCAAACACTTGGGGAACTTGAAGCATTTGTTTTGGTGAGACGCTCAAAGTCGACATTACAATCCCCTCAACACTGGATCCAGCTGCCCCTTTGTTTTCCAACCAACTCTTGCGCTTCTTCGATGCCTGGACCCACATTACCTCGGATCATTGGGTTCTAAGCACAGTAGAAATCCAGTTTTTGTCTACTCCAACTTTCCACCCCCTTTCCCTATCCATTTTCAGGGACCCTTCTCATGAGCAACTGTTGGAACAAGAAGTCCAATCCCTCCTTTTGGTGGGAGCCATGGAAGAGTTTCCGTTCCACCTAAGAGGAAAGGTGTTCTATTCCTGTTACTTTCTAATCCTGAAAGCCAAGGGTGGTTTCAGACCAATCCTAGACCTGCATTGTCTCAAGTGCTATCTCAAGAACTTAGTTCCACATGGTCTCCTGGGTGTCCATCATTCCCTTTGTGGATTCAAGGGATTGGTATGCCGCCCTTGATCTCAAGGACACATACTTCCACATATCGATTTTCTGAAGTCACAGACGATTCCTAAGATTTGTCATGAACCAAGTTCATTACCAGTCTGCGGTTCTTCCGTTTGGCCTGTCCATCACCCCATGGGTCTTCACCAAATGTATGGCAGCAGTGCCAGCTTTTCTCAGAAAAAAGGGAGTTCATGTATTCCCTTATCTCAACAACTGGCTGGTCCAGAGCTCAAGTGAATCTGACATCAGTCTCATCCAGTTGACCTTCCAACCACTAGGCCTACTGGTAAACGACCAGAAATCCACCCTTATTCCTGTTCATCGGTGTAGTTCTCAACTCCGTGCAGGCAAGGGCCATTCTTCCGGATGATCACGTTCGTTCAATTACAGCCCTGATAAGATCCTTCCAGGCCTATCTGATCACGACTGCATGAAAGAGTCTGTCTTCTGGGACACATGGCTTCATGCACATATGTAGTGCAACACATGAGGCTATGTCTCTGATCTCTACAGGTCTGGTTGGCTGCAGTATAGTCTCCCTCACGTCATCACCTGGACATGGTGCTCACTGTTCCCGCTCAGGTCCTTGATTCACTGACATGGTGGCTGAACCACTGCATGGTATGTGCGGGGGTACCTGTTTTGCTGCCTCAACTGTCAATATCTCTAGTATCCGACGTATCAGCCCTCAGCTGGGGAGCCCTCTTAGGGTCCCTCATGACTCAGGGCGTCTGGTCTCAAGAAGAGCTTTCCCTCCATATCAATGTCAGGGAACTCCAGGCGGTCCACCTGTCTGGTGTTCCTATCCCACATTACAAACAAGATCATTTTGGTTCTCAAAGACAACATGATGGCCATGTTATACACCAACAGACAGGGCAGAGCGTACCCTTCCCCCTTGTGTCAGGAAGCAATGCGGCTGTGGGAGCTCTGTATTGCACACTCAATCAGTTTAGAAGCGTCCTACCTTCCAGGAATGCAGAACCAGTTGGCAGATCACCTCAGCAGGTCTTTCTCCTCTCTCCACAAGTGGTCCCTCCAACCGAACCTCACAAAGGACATCTTCCAACCATGGGGAACTCCCCTTATATATCTGTTTGCTACCCACAACAACAAGAAATGCCATCAGTTTCTGCTCCCTGGGAAGCCACAATCCAGGGTCTCTTACAGACACATTCCTGTTATCATGGATAAATCACCTGTTTTATGCATTCCCGCCTACCCCACTGATTCTGAAGGTTCTGACGAAGATCAAGTGGGACCGAGCGCAGGTCATTCTCCTAAACCCGGCATGGCACAGGCAACATTGGCTCACCTCCCTCTGAGGCCTTTCAGTGGAGACCCTGCTACTGCTTCCACTCCACCCAGATCTGATCTCTCAAGAGCACGGTTGCCTGCTCAATCTGAACCTAAGGTCTCTTCATCTGATGGCCTGGAAATTCTATGGCTGAATCCTGAGGCACAAGCTTGCTCGGAGCAGGTCCATAGAGTCCTACTGGGCTGTGGAAACCCCCCCACCAGGGCCACCTACCTTGCAAAATGGAAGCTGTTCTCCAGCTGGTCTTACCAACAGGGAATTCCACCTACGCAGCCCTCTCTGCAGCTCATTTTGGAGTACCTTCTACTGCTGAAACAAGGCCTGTCCCTCTCTTCAGTTTAAGGTTCACCTAGCAGCCATTTCATCTTTTCATCCCAAGGTCAACAACCAGTCCATTTTTTTTCACTCAAGATGGTTATCCATTTTCCCAAAGGCCTGGAGAAGGTATGCCCCCAGGTTAGAAAACTTATTCCTCCCTGAGATCTAAACCTTGTCTTGTCGAAACTCAGCAGGGGTCTCAAACTCAATTTGCCTTAGGGCCAGTGCCAGTCCTCAAATCCTTCCAGTGGGCCAATAATGTCACTGAAGATGGTGTTCAGAAAAGAGAACGTTTTATTTTGAATTTCTTAGAAATAATAAAGCTGTCATACAACTTTCTACAATTCTTCACCTGCTAGAGAGTTTTTAGTGTTTGCCAGACACCTGGCAACGCTTCAGTTCTAACAGTATGTTGATGTTTGGCCTCAGTAACTGAGCAGTTGAAACCTTCAGGATTGCAGCAAGGTGTGCATCAGATAGTTGTGTTCGGTATTTTGACTTGTTTATATTCATTGTGGGGAAAAAAGTGATGCTGCCTCCATGGCTGATTCTGCCGGGCAACTAATGATGATATCTCTTGTCCTGCTCCCCCAGCCAATGGGAGCTATGGGGGTGGCGCCTACAGTGGACATTGTCTGCAGCGTGTCTGCCTGTGTCTCTCCTCCCATCTCGCCTCCGAGGGCCGTAGATGGCCCGCGGGCCGGGAGTTTGAGACCCCTGTTCTACAGCATCTTAGTTTACAAAATAGAAATGATATACCCAATAACTAATCAGCTGGCTTTAACAAAAACTTATTTTTAATCCATGATAAAAGCTTCCTGTAAATGGCTTATAATTATTTCCATATTTAGATTGCCATAGTTGATTTAAAAAATATAAAGTATAACACTGTATTCTGTATCTTCAGTCAATGAAGAAGTCTCTAGATATACGGTTACTACTAACATTGTTACAGATACCATTAAATGTTTCATCTGCATCAAGCTACATTTTTATCCGCTTCTTTTTCTGACAAACAGGTGATATTGATTACAGTAGTGTACTACTTGGTATGCTGGTAATGCAGGATGTACAGCTTGGTTTATTTATAGCTGTTATGCCAACCCTTATTCAAGCAGGAGCCAGCACATACTCCAGGTAAAGAGGTTTTAAAAATGTATTTATTACTTTATTGGTCTCTGAAGAGGGCCTCATTGTTTTGTGGCATATAGAATTTGCCCACCCATAAGCTTATGGATCTGTGTATGACTGTGACAAAACCTATATTTAGAATTTTTAACGTTGGTTTCTCAAAACATGGTTATCCAATGCCATGCGTGCCCTTATATTATTGATATGTATCATATTAAATCAGAACACCTCACCCCAATACTTAACTTTTTTCCATCATTTGTTTTTTTACGTGATTTGTGTCATAAAATTAAACGCCTTCCATACCATCTCATTATATCCCATAATCATCCTACTGAAATATAAGCCCGAGTAAATTTATTGAGCCATATGTTGTGTCCTGAAGGTCAGCCAATACAGGCTGTGTTGGACCATATTGGGAGGAGATTCTAGACTTTAGCAGGAATTACTGGGTGCTCTGCATTTTTGATAATTAGGACACGTATTGAGTTGCCTAAATATGAATTTAGGAAGCTAACTAGCAACCCATTTTTGAAAACCTTTACCATTAGATTTTTCACTTGGGGGAAACTGGTTTAAAGGCAAGAGAACAGGTAAAATAACATTTTTTTTCTTTTTTCTTTTCTAGCATTGTCATGGAAATACTGAGAATACTGATACTGATTGGCCAAATTCTCTTTTCTCTGGCTGCTGTTTTTCTTATATGTCTTGTTATAAAGACTTATCTCATAGGACCATATTATCGCAAGTTGCATGCGGAGAGTAAAGGGAATAAAGAAATCCTCATTTTAGGAATATCTGCTTTCGTCTTTCTTATGTTAACGGTAATCTTTTAAAATAATAAAACATTTTTACATATCTTTGATGTACAGATTAATATGACATCAGTACCAAAAATACTGACACATTTAACCTTTATTACATATTTTCACAGTTCTGTAATTGGTATTTTAAAACCAAAACTCAAATGCATGGAGGATCAAAGCATCTAGCACATTTTAAGTTCTACTGCAATATAAGTGATAAGTAGTAATTGATTAGGAGTTACAGGTCAATAATTTTATGTAACCTAAATAAAATCAGGTTGAATTTCAGCAGATAATTTTAAAGTAAAACTGTTTGTGTAGATTATCATATTAGTGTGTGGTGCAAGTAAAGGTCTGTTAGTCCTCGTTGTGTGCCCCAATTTTCTGAAGGTTTAAAATCCTATTTTCCAGTGCAGAAAACTGCTTTTTTTTTTTTTTGGGTTCTTTGAGGTGTTTTTATTTTTATTTTTAATTTGAAAAATAATTTGAGGAGGGGTTTTGAGTTACTGAAATCAAGTAAACTTTTTTCCTGTTATGTTTGTTTTTAACATTATTGGCTTACCAAATTTAGTCTTTACTACAGATTATTTGTTTCTTTTTGTGGGGGGACTTTTTTTAACCAGACTTTTTTCTTTAAAGGCTATAATGGATCCTTGAAGCCACTGTAGTTTTTTAGGACACATACACAAATTAAATTGTAATAAGCTCTTGATAAATCTTAGAGGTATATTTCTCTTGTCCCAGTGTCCCCTCCATTAATTTAATGCTTCATATTCCACTCATCCAGTAGAGCAGACTGTTTGAGAACAGAAAGTGGCTATCACCTATAATATTTTACGAACTGTGGGTTTGAAATAGCTCTGATATGGATTTGCAGAATCTGTTCATGCTCTGAATTTCTGCTGGTGTTACCATGCTTTAGATCATTGTTTCAGTTCTCCAAGTTTATGCTTTAGGACTAATAGTACAAGACAGAAGCAGAGTATGAAAGTGATGATAAAAGTGAGAGGAGCTTGTGGACGTGCTGTTTGTATTGTGAGCTTTTTAAAGCAAAATGTGGCACTAAGACATTTTATAGGGAACAGAAGCAGGACCAAGATGGAGTAATGAAAACAATTAAGTTCAGCAAAATGTCCGTAGAAGCTTTCAGATACATCCTGAGAAAATCTTGTCATTAAGACTTTGTCTACACTTGCGGCGCTGTGTAGGATACATGTAGCTACATGCCACAGTGAAAGGAAAGGCAGGTTGTGTCCACATTTGTAAGTGTGGTGTGTATCTACATGTGGCAGTGAAGGGCTCATGCAACTCTCTGCTGCCAGTGTCTTTCCTGCAATGTGGAAAGGCTCCAGCAGGGTGGAGGCAATGGGACACTACATTGCCAAATATAGCAGTGTAGACATGGGAGGCGCTGCTTGGCCATGTAGAGAGCCATGTAGTAGGGTACTCTACTCTATTTGCCGAGCCATGCCTCACCATCTACACTGCTAGCTGGGTATGCATTGTCTGTATTGTACACACCATCCTAAGTGGAGACGTACCTTGAGAAAGGACTTGGGTATGCATGCCACTTTTTGCTAAGGGAGTACATCTTTTAATCTTTATAATTTAGGACATGTAAGAGACTAACAGGAGAAGCATTTCACAATTTATAGACTTCTGTGTAATTTAGAAAAATGCCATTGCTGTAGAAGTGCTTGAGACTCCAATCCTTTTCTAAACAAGCGCAGCAGATTCTTAGGTCATATAAGTAAGAGAAGAAACAACTTATTCATAGTTTCTTATAGATTTCCATTAACAAGCAGACATAATTTCTGTGAAGCACTCTTAATGGAAAGGCAATAGAGAAACTTAAAGCAAAGTGTATAGTGGTGACTTTAGAAATCTGCTTAATCACGCAAAAATAAGTTGATTTCTATAGTAAGGGGTCGTATTTTATTTGAAATGGGCCTCCACTAGAAACATTAACATAAATTGTGCCTATCAGAAGTATTAGTAAAAGAGGAGTAGCACAACATATACACAAGGATGTGTATTAGTGGGTTTAAGCCATAAAAGAAAGTGGAGTCCTTTTTTAATACTTAAAGTGGAGAATGCAAATGTATACTATTGCTTTGAGTACTTTTGAATGAAAACTGACAGTTTTATTTCAAATATTTTTATTAATGTATCAAAAAGAAAGTCATTATAGAAATATATCAGATGTAGCATATTGACAGATCAGGTTTGAGGCTGGAGGGAGATGACAGGTGTACCTCAAAATTCAGGTCTATTCTGAAAAATGGCTGTGAAAATGGCATTGTGTGTGGGTCTATCTTTGTTTCTTAATTATCTCCCCACTTAAACGTACTCAAGTTAGAGGAAAAAACATCCTTTTACTTGTAACTGACAGCCTCACAATCTCAGTCTGGATTCTGAGAGTCAATTTGGAATCTTTCCACCATGTGTATTATCACCACTAATAAAGGCTCAGCAGATCAAATTAGGCCTTTGCGTAAGACCTCTGTCCAGATGATATTCATCCTTCCAGTAGTGGCATCTGTTTTCCTAATCTCTCACAAATATTTTTATTGCAGTTACCTTCAAATGTCATCACACTCCCCAGATAGCAGAACCCATCTACCTGTCCGATTTCTTTTCCATCCATGTACACTTTTGCATCTGTTGTCCAGTTTCCTACCTTTATAATCTTGATTTTCTCTGCATTTACTTTCAATCCAATTTTTGCTGCTTGCTATATAATGGGTAAAAGACCTCTCAGGAAGAATCAAAGTGTCACAGCTAATGCCCATCAGGGACTTTTCTGGACAGCTATTGAAAACACATGAAGAGCAAGCCAGATGATAGAATATTTCCTTTCCATATTAAACTGTCTAAAGCTGATGCTCATGCACAGGTTCAAGAGAAATGCCAATGCTAAATTAGAAATTGAAGAGGGACCAATAACACCGAATGAAATTAAACAGCCATCAAAATTCTCAAACAAGGGAAAGCTCCTGGGTTTGACAGAATTCAAACAGAGGTACCACAGGTGGGAAGTGAAATTCTGATTGAGCAGCTAACAAAACTTAAACAAAATATGAGTGAAAGAACCAGTGACACAAGACTGGAAAGATGGTATCATTGTGGCATTGCCAACAGAGTGATCTTACTCAATGCACAAATAGGGGAAATACTGTATTGCTATCAATCCTGGGCAAAGGATTGGCTACTGTTATGCTGAGTAGAATGTAGAAGGCAGTGGATGAAATGTTACAACAACAGGCAGGGGTCCATGTGGGTAGATCATATTGTGAACAGATATTCACTCTTTGACAGATCATCGAAAAAAGCTACCTCTTGGCAGAAATCCATCTCAACTTCCTTGACTTTAAGAAAGTGATTGATAGCAACCACAGAGAGACCCCTGGTCCATGGAATATTGCTAGAAGCTATGGGATACCAGGCAAGCTGATTAAAATAATGAGTTTTGATGATGGAAGTAGATGCACAGTAAGATTGGTTACAGGCTTGTGTGAGTGGTTCAGTATTGTGGCTGGTGTTAGACAAAGGTGTGTGTTATCATCAACACTCTTTGCATTAGCAATACACAGGATGATGCTGCAGGCACAAAAAGCATTGCAGATGGGACAAAATGAGTTAGCGACACGAGTTACACAACATTAACTTTGCCAGTGACATTACTTTACTAAATAAGATGTGGAACGGAATGATTGCCCTTACATCAGAGGTAGAACAGGAAGCAGCATCAATTGGATTGGAAATTGAATTAGAAATATTAGGATTGTCAAATCTTGTCAACCCCTTTTTGCTATAGGACTTCTTGAATGACTGTGTTGTTTGAGAGCTTTCTCAATTCTTTAATTAAAGGGATTAAGAAAGAGCTTTTATCTCAGGTTTCAGAGTAGCAGCTGTGTTAGTCTGTATCCGCAAAAAGAAGAACAGGAGTACTTGTGGCACCTTAGAGACTAACAAATTTATTAGAGCATAAGCTTTCGTGGACTACAGCCCACTTCTTCGGATGCATAGAAGAAGTGGGC